GATTGTTAACAATCCACAGAGGAAGACAATTGAACACAATTTTTCAGACACAGTCCATGATATACTCAAAAGTGGGAAAACAAAGAAACCAGCATCTCTGGGAGAAGCCCAGAGGAAGCAGATACAAAACTGGGTCAAACTGTCTTGTTCACCAGTGTCTTCCAAGTGAGCACCTGCCAGCATGATGCCTGTTACATAAGTGCCACACAATTATTTACTAAATGAATACACAAATGATTTAAGCTTTGCAACGTGCACTGGAAGAAAAAAACGAGGGAAGGTGCCCATGTGTTAGTGTTTTTCTGTCTCTTACTTTTCTATAATTCTTGTACAAATTTCCTACAATAAGCATGTATTACTTTTATAATTTGAAAAGACAAATAAATGCAAAAAAAAAAAATATATATGAGGGTACTTCAAAAAGTTTGTGGATAAATGAGGAACAGTGGTAAATAAAAAAAAAATGGAAGGGGGGTAAGGGAGGACTTGGTAAAGGGCCATGAAAAATGATTACATTGTATAATGTTGACTATACTAATAATCCTAGTTTGAGCATCACATATTGCACACAGGTATTGATATTTAACTCTGTATCCCAGAGACATGTACAATCGACTATGTTACAATAAAAAAAAAAAAGAAAAAAAAAGTTCATGAAAAAATAGAATTAAAAGAGAATATGAATATCTCTATGAACTTTCTGAAGTACTCTTATATTCCACTAAGGGTATATATTCAGAGTAATATGTTCAAAAATTACTTGGATTACTTTTATTTTTCTTCTTTGTGGTTATGTTATCAATTTGGTATATAGTTAGTTTCACTTCTGTTTACATTCAATTTTTGGTTTTTTTACACCATCCTTGATTTAATTTTATTTTGAATATATAAAAACACTAACATGGTTCAAAAGTAAAAGCAATGCAAAAAAGTATACTCAAGATAGGTCTCGTTTCCTTCCCTATCTCCTTTAACCCTCTTCTACCCCTACTCTGTAGGTAACCAATTGCTTTAGCTCCTAGTTTATCCTTCTTGAGTTTCTTTTTGCAAAAATAAGCAGATATACATATATTCTTTTTTCTGTATCCACCTTGCAAAACGTAGCATACTATATACTCTTTTGCATCTTACTTTTTTTTTCAATTAACAATATATTCTGGAAATCATGCCATATAAGTTTCCTTTACTCTTTTTTCTTAACAGCACCTGCCTTTGTTTTAAAAATGCTATATTTTTCATGACCTCTGAGGATATTAATTATATTCTTAAAATTATCTTATGCTCTTGCATTGTCTGCGTTTTCTACTGAGTTCCTCTTTTTTTCCCATTTGTTTTGGAGATCTTCCTTTATTATCCACTGACATTTAAGAATGGAGCATTAAAAGGCTGACTGGAAGTTCTGCGTACATGGGAATGGCCCTCTCAACTGGTGGGCTTCACTGTAGGATGATTGTGTGGGCACCTGGCCATTTCGCTGAGGTCCTCAAATACCAATATCTTTTTTTCTGGGGTTACTTTTGTTTCTCCAGAGAAGAATCCTCCAATTATCTGCTGATGAGGGAAGAAGTAGTGATGGTAGAAATAAATAACTGGTTGGCAATGTTCTCGGAGTCAGTGGCACAAGAAGGTCTGTGGTCCTATCCTTTAGCATGTTTTGATTTCCAGTTAATCTCTCCCTTCCTTGTTAATGTGCTTGGTAATTCCTTGTGCCCAGAGCCCACTTAATTTCCTGGTAAGTAAACCTCCAGCCTCTTGGTAAGGTTGGGAGGGGGTAAATGCCAGGCTGTGGGGGGTGAGGAAGGGCCTCAGGGGTAGAAAAGCATTAGAAGAGACAAGGAAGGGAATGAGTCTTTCTTGTGCAGATTTACACTTAATTCTGTTATTTTCAACTTCATGCTTACCCCCACTTTCCATGACACGGATGCCTCCAATTCCTGAGCCTTTTCAAGGGTCTACAGCATTAAGCAACTTGCTTTTTATTGATTTCTCTCTCTTTTGGCACACAGTATTCAGCTTTTTCAGCTCTGCTAATCTATCTACTTACCATCTTCCCCAAATTTGTTGATATTTCCAGTTCACTGTTATTTCCTCATCTATTATTACTGTCCTTGTGGATTTATACTTATTATATTTATTTCATTCCTTCACTTTCATTTTAGTATGGTTGGGGGGAAAAATACACAAATGTGTCCAATCTTCCGTGTTTAACTAGATGTCCCTTGCTATGACATCTTAACATTAAAACTTCAAGAGACTGCTGACAGAACACATGAGTTGACAGACCACTAGTCAGAACTAAGGTCACATTAGTTTCACTAGAAAATGAAAATCTGTGATCTTCATATTCAAGCAATAATAGAATCATCAAATTATAAACATAAAAAGATTTTCGATACAAGTGTTATGACCATTAATAAATTAGTTCCAATTATAATCCAAAACCAAAGTTGCTATGTTGTGATATAACTATATAGATACTGTGAACCTCATGGCATGAGGTAGGTAAGCACAGGCCTGTTAAAGTACTTTAACATTTTATATTTGTAAGGAGGAGCTCTAACTACATGACTGCATAGAATTGGAAAGCTTAGCAAAAAGCACAAAACGGCAGATTTTATTTAAGACTGTTGAATATTGATGACATAATATGATATACAGTAGTCCCCCCTTATCTGCAGGCATACACTCCAAGATCCAAGACCTCTAGTGGATGCCTGAAACCACAGATAGTACTGAACCCTATATATATTATGTTTTTTCCTATACATACATACCTACAACAAAATTTAATTTATAAATTAGGCACAGTAAGAGGTTAACAACAATAGTTAATAATAAAATAGAAGAATAATAACAATATACTGTAACAAAAGTTAGGTGAATGTGGTGCCTCTCTCTCTCTCTCAAAATACCTTATTGTACTGTACTGTGGTAACTGAAACTGTAGAAATGAAACAGTGGATAAGAGCAACTATTGTATTTACGACATTTCATTTCTCATTTCAGACATTCTGATACAATCATACAGGAAAAATCAGTTTTTTTAATGAATGTAAACATTTATGGACAAACCAACAGAAAGCCGAGGGTCACAAGTGCACAAATACCTTAGAAATAGTATATACACCAAAACGCTAAACACCCTATAAGAAATTATAGTGGAGTGAAAAAGTCCCTCGCAATAACTCAATATACAGACAGTTCATAAGAATGCTTCTTCTTTCTGAATTCTCAATACATGGGCTTTCAAAATGATAAAGAATTGAAGATGTATTTATTAGAAGGGAAAAACAATCATACAAAGGGCTGAAGGCGAGGTGGAAAACTGAACAACGTTAAAAATAATCAAGTACTAGGAGGTGGGAAGAAGAGGTCCTTATAGAGAGGAGAAAACGAAAATTACTACAATTTTCAAATCTACCAATCACAATGGTGGTACTCTGATTTGTTCAGAACATTTAGACAATACACTCGTATAGTAATTCCCTCAGAAGAGATAAAGCAGGCTGTATTTTTTCTTTCTCCATAAGGAAAAACATAAAATAAAAATGGCCATGTTTGAAAATGAGCACTTTATGGTAGCTTTCTTTTAGACATCAAGGGTATGTGCAGCTATTAGAAAAGTGAAAATATATAACAAAGACACTGAGTAAAGATTCTATTCAGAGCAAAAACGAATGCACAAAAACTATTTTATAAATACATCCTTGAAAACCTGCTTCTATCATGAAGATTAATGTTTTCATGATCAAACTTTTGCTTTTAATACTTTAATAGAGCGAGTTAATACAGTTTATTCCTTCTTGGAGGTGACATGCATTATTTCCTGTCAAAAGAGACTAAAAAACAGAATCCTATCAGGATTCAATCTCATTCAAAGAACACAAATTCTGTATACTTTGTTAGGAACGATATTTAAGTTTCTTATATCTTAACAATTTCCAGTGTTCTTGAATACTAAACTTTAAAGTTAAATCTCTTACCTGGTCCAAGACAATAATTTCATCTGCATCAACTACTGTTGACAATCTGTGTGCAATGAAAACAGAAGTTCTGTGTTTGACCACATCCCTCATGGCACCAAGAATAGTCTGCAAGTTTAACAAGAGGAAGAGTAGGAGAAAAATAAAAGATATACCCACTAGGTAAATGTAAATTAAAATAATCATACATTCCCTAAAGGAACATACTAAGAAGAAAAGGAGAAAATCAAATAAAAAGAGAAGGCAAATAAGACCACATCATCATAGAAAAAAAGTATCTTTGAGATAGGCAACATTTCTCTAAATTAGAAAGTCTAGAAGGTGGATATATTCTATACTTAAAAACAAATAAATAAATAACAACCCCAGTGACATCAGGAGCAGAGCCAGATATGATGTTTAACAATGAAAACAAAAACTAAAATGAGGATGGACTCAAGTGATAGTATGCAGAAAAATTCAAAATAATCCAAAGAAAGATAGGGAGAATAAGAGGGTACAGGAACACTTGCTTTTCCTTAGTTCAAACTTAGAGGACAGAAAAGGAGACAAAGACAACTGTGCATTTTTAACTTGAGGAAATCTCTTTTTTTGAAGCATTCTGACTTCTTAACGCATTCTGGAAAATACATTTTTGTTTACTGCCTATAAAGTATAAGACAGTTGTGACAATCAAGTGCAGGATCAAACCTAAGAAGAACTGTGATATTTATAGGGACTCCTCTTCCTTACCCTCAAGAACTTAAACTCTGCTATCCTACTGAGTGCTCTAGACCTTTTAGGTCCATTAAAACTGACCAAATCTTGTGGTAACTCTTTCCCTTGGGGAGGTTCTCCGTTAGCTCTTAATGGGTTAAGCTCTCTGACACAATAAAGCTATGTGCCTCAAATAATGACTGTTAGAACTTTTAATTTGTGGTAGCATGACACATTTTTAGCTATAAAATTTGTGTAAGCAGGTTCCTACTTTTCCTATGAATGGGGTCTGCTCCTGCTTACGGTTCACTTGAAATATAATAAATCCTCATGTTAACCAATTCATTTCGAAATTAAATTTTTAAAAATACGCTATAAGAATATACATAGAATACAAGCAATTATACAGTAAAAAAACAAATAACCCAATTAAAAAATGGGCAAAGGAGCTGAACAGCCATTTTTCAAAGGCAGACATACAAATGACCAACAGATACATGAAAAAATGCTCAACATCACTAGTCATCAGGGCAATGCAAATTAAAACTACATTGTGATGCCGCCTCACTCCAGTTAGATTGGCTATAATCAAAAAGATGGTGAGTAACAGATGCTGGCGAGGGTGTGGAGAGAAGGGAACACTACTGCACTGTTGGTGGGACTGTAAAGTGGTACAAGCACTATGGAAAACAGTATAGAGTTTTCTCAAACAACTACAGATTTTTTTTTTTTGTCCTTTTTGGGACCGGCTGCACCGCGCTCACTGTGAGTGCTGTGAACGCACCAGTCATCCCTATATAGGATCCAAACCCGCGGCGGGAGCACTGCTGCGCTCCCAGCGCCGCACTCTCCTGAGTGCGCCACGGGCTCGGCCCAAACAACTACAGATTTTTTTTTTTTGTCCTTTTTGGGACCGGCTGCACCGCGCTCACTGTGAGTGCTGTGAACGCACCAGTCATCCCTATATAGGATCCAAACCCGCGGCGGGAGCACTGCTGCGCTCCCAGCGCCGCACTCTCCTGAGTGCGCCACGGGCTCGGCCCAAACAACTACAGATAGATCTTCCATGTGATCCAGCAGTCTGTCTTCTGGGTATATACCCAGAGGAATGGAAATCATCATGTCGAAAGGATACCTGCACTCCCATGTTCATCTCAGCTCTGTTCACAACAGCCAAGACATGGAACCAACCTAAATGTCCATCGATGGATGACTGCATAAGGAAACTGTGGTATATATACACCATGGAATACTACTCTGCCATAAAAAAGAATGAAATTCTGCCATTTGCAACAACATGGATGAGCTTGGAGAAACTTGTGTTGAGTGAAATAAGCAAAGCACAAAGGGATAAATACCGCATGTGCTCACTCATTTGTGGGAGCTAAGAGAGAAAGAAGGAAGGAAAGAAAGACCACAGTAGTGTGTTGGTCTTATAGAGGGAGGGAATATTCCTGGGGCTACAAAGTGGAGTGGGGGGAAAGAGGGAGGAGGAGGGAGGTTGGAGAATAATTGGGTGGGGGACATGGGGTACAAAAGTAATTTCTGGTAATGGGTGTGCTGCCAGTATGAATCTGGCCCTCACATCATGGGCATTAGGGGTGACAATTAGCTTTGTATCTCATGAATATTCATAATAAAAATAAATAAATAATAATAATAAAAATTCCCTGTATATTTTACTTCTTTTTCAAAAATGCTACAGATCAATGAATGTGTCCTGAAACTTAACTCCACATGCAAATATTATGTTGTGCGGCCTGTAAAGCCAAAATTACACCTATAATTCAACAACAGGTTTATACTATGTATTAAATTAAAAGGTAGGTGAATGAAAGCAAATAACAAATAACGTCTGCCTATCTTCAGTTCTAGATTAAGGGGATTTGTTCATGAAATTATCATTGCTGTTGAGACTTTCTGTATGTAATATAAAGATGTTGCTGTGAAGTCTAATGCAGTTGCTGGGGTAGTGCCATGACATCAGTGTTACAACATCTTGGTGTTCTACAGCATTTCCTATGCAATGAATACAAATTGATACCAGCACTGCAGGTTGTATGTGCTTGACTTGAACCACAGTGAGCTGCTCCATGAGAAGTGAAAAGCCTTCTGGTGTGCAGTGTGTCACAAGTGTCACAATCACCTACATGATTTGTCTTAATGAGTGTTAAGTGGCAACAGGAGAGAGACTAAAACTCTCTTCCTTTGTCAGCATATTAGGCAATCTCTACAGCTTTGCAAGATGCAAGGGTACTACAACAACAGCATGAGGTGTCACACAGTTCCAAAAGGAGACATGTTTGCAAATGGACTTAACACTGTGATAACTAGTTCAATGAACTGTGACATTCTCATCATGAACACTTGCCATGTGCTAGGTATTTTGCTCTACAGCACCTCCTACTGAAGTTCATTCAAAGTACAAAGTAATGCAGTCATTTTACTGAAACTTCCAAGGAGAAAAGTTAAACATTAAAGAGCTTTATATTTTCATCATTATTTACCTCTTCAGTAATTGAGTCTAACGATGAAGTGGCTTCATCATAGAGAATGACTGGGGGGTCCTTCAAAATGGCTCTTGCAATTGCTACTCTTTGCTTTTCTCCCCCTGGTAAAGAAAAATTTTTATTTAAAAAAGCATAGCATACACATATTTTATGCTTCTGATTTTTCCATTGATTGCAACCACCAAGTAAAACCTTCAACATTTACCTATACTCCTGATCACTGTTCATTTTACTGAGTTGTACAGCCTCAGTTCATATATGATATCCTCTGACAAACTATATTTCCTGGAACATAAGTGTAATACTAAATTATGACTTTGTGGCAAGTGATAATAATGAGAATGAGGAGGGGAGGTAACAAATTTGATTCCACTAGAAATATGCTCATTATATATGTTACTTTATATTACAGATACTTGTTAATGAACAGCAAACTCAGAAAAATTTTACTAGAGAATCGACAAAGCCAAAACCAAATTCAATATTTGAAACCTGAAAACTTGAAAATATAAAACTATGAATATTTAAATGTATCTCTTACCATAAAAAGTACCATTCGGACAGTATTCTCAAGAATGTTATTTGAAAGAAAGCTATTATTTTCTCAGCATTCTTCAAAGTTAAGGGTATATACAAGATACCTCTCACTTCCCCTTAGTCACTTGTTATAGCATAAAAGATTTTTAAAACGGAAAGGAAATGGAGGCCCAGAAAGGTTAAGTGATTTGCTCAAGGTCACACAGCAAGTTCCAGCAGAATCTGGACAAGACCTGACTGACTCCTAGTCTAATGCTCTTCCTATCAATGTGTAAGCCCACATTTATCCCTAAATATAGGAATAAATACTTAGAAAATATTTATTTACTAAATAAATAGTAAAAATATTTAGTAAAATATAAAGAAACCTTTCTTTCATCACTGGTACTCCTGTAGGTCTAAGGTCATCAGTCTTACAAAGAACTACACTTGGAAGCATAGAAGATGGTACTTTGCTGAATATGTCCCTTCTGGCTTCTTTTCTTGTCCATTATACATTAATTTATCAATGTCTGAAAAAGCCTGTATTTTTCAGCTTCAATAACCTCTTTAGGAAACAAGCTCTACCTACCGATTATTTGGTATACTAAGTATTTTATTTTTACTTGTTCTACAATTACCTTCCACTTGTAAAGGGGGCTCCTTATGTTTAATATAGTAAGTTTATATTCATGCTAGCAATACCCTTTCCCATCTCATAAGATAAAAATTCTCCTATCAAAGCAAACATCATGCCAGAACTATCTGCCTGCCCACCTATCAACCCAGTAGCAGAAAGCTCCTCAAAGAAGTAGATACTCAGATGAAGGACCAGTTTTGACATACCACTCAAACTCCAAGTGGAAACCAAGAGAGTTTTAATTCTGTTCAATAGGATTATGGACTTAGAGAAGAAACATCTGTTTATTCTCTAACACAATTATTAGCACAGATGCTAAATAATAAATTGCTCATTTTGGGAGGTTTGGTTGTAAGTCAATGAATATTAGGTAAAAATAAAATTTGCATAGCTATCCTACCCCCAATGGCATGCAGAAAGGGAAAAAAAAAAAAGATTAGAAAATGGACTATGGCATAGCTGGCTGAGGTAAAGTCAGGTGTTGAGAATATCATGTATTACATGATAAATTGGGAATCACTAGAATTCACCAAATGGACACACTGGGGATGGGCTAGCTCACTGAAAACGATTTCCATTAAGAGCAGTGGTAAAGTGTAAAGGTGGACTGGAATGATACACGCATCTTATACGACTAGGTAATGACCAAATTACTACACAAACCAACTTAACTTGAAAATAATTTTTGCTTAAGATTTTTTAAACTTAGATCAAAACTTTCTAATAGACTGAAAGTTCCTTGAGCAGGCCTGTTAATGCTTCATCTTTTAAACTCTCAAATCAATTAGCATAATAGCTTGCACATAGTATGTATCCAGTAATTGTTGTGAATAAATAAAGCCAGTTTGTAATAGAGAGGAATGAGGATTCATAAAAATTCATAGAGTATTCTTCATTCTATTCTATTACTCCCTAATCTATACATTTCCTCCCTAAACTATAATAAAGAATAAATGTAAAGGATGTAGTATGTTTGTATAAGTAACATTAACACTTTCAGTCATTATATATCATCATACTTTTGTAATTCAAATAATTTGGGGCAAAGAAACATTTTTATGAATCCTCCACAGAATTCAAAGTCATTTTAGGGTAATTTCTTCTTAAACCTAGCAATCTCATAATTAAACACTTAAATGAAAATGAAGTTGGCTGTATGGCAAGTATACCAATTAACAGGATCAAGTATAAGGAGGGCTAAAATATTGAAAATATCCCTTAATGGTCTAGGAAATTATGATGAGACATACACTATTCATTATTAAATTACTTCTCCATATTCTTACTACATTCCTAGGAGAATAATGATCTTGGCTTTCCTTTAATATGAAGATCATGTATAATAAGTTAACATGGATCTGAGCATATATCAATAACTTACTTAATAGTAAGAGCCTACAGTATTTGCTGCTACAAGTGGAAAAAAAAAAAGACTTGCATGAGTTGAGAACAGTTATTTCTAGTATGTTGAATTGTTCACAAGTCAGAGGTAGAAGACTGGGAATCACATCAAATGTGACTGGATGAGCACTATATTTGAACTGTCATTACATTTTCTAGAAAATGGCTATGACAGATCAAAGTTTGAAGATAGTATACAAGTAAGGGAAAGGTTTAAATCTTTCATCACCTGAAAGCTTGAGTCCTCGTTCCCCTACTTGGGTGTCATATCCACGTGGCATTCGAAGAATTGCATCATGGAGTCCAGCTAATTTTGCCACTGCATATACTTCCTCAGGTGAAGCACTGATGTTTCCATATAAGAGGTTGTAGTAAATAGTATTATGGAAGAGGACAGCATCCTAAAGCAGATTTATACATACATACATATATATGTATATTCATAAAAAAAATTCAAACAATAGTAAAGACATAAAGAGTAAAACATGACAACCCCTTTCATCACCCTCCATCCCTGAAACACTTTTCCCTTCCCAGAGCTAATCATCATGAACAATCTATTGTGCATCCTTCCAGATGTTTTTCTATGCATTTATATGCCTAAACATATGTTTTTTTCCCCTTACACAAGGGGGGCCATTGTACACATATTATTTTGCAAATTGCTTTTTTTTCACTTAACATATCCTGGAGATTATACATGTCAGTAACAAAAACCTACCTCATTCTTTTTAATAGTTGTGTATTCCATACTATGGATATATCGTAATTTATTTGTCCATTTTACTACTGATGGACATTAACGTGATTTCCAAATTTTTGCTACTACACTGCTGGAATAAAACATCATTATATATATGATTTGTGCACCTGTGTATTTCTGTAAGGATTCCTAAAAGTAGGTCAATGGGTTAAAAGGTAAGCATACATTTATCCTTTGATAGTATTGCCCAACTGTCTTCCAAAAATACCCTATTGGCAATGAATAGGGTATAAGGGTACCAGCTCCCCATAACCTTAGCAACCCTGGATATTAATAATTATTAGTTGTTGCTACTTTTAGGGGTGAAATATGCTTTCCTGTTTAAACCAGCATTTCCTTAATTACTAATGAGATGGAATGTGTTTTCCTATGTTTCTAAGAAACTTTTGACATTGGACTTAAAACGGAAAACAATAAATTTATGCATTGCATTTTTTTTTTTTTTTAGAGAAAGTTCACTGCAAGCATTCATTTAATATTTTAACTTATTCTGACATGGCATGATAAAGCTAATTTACTTAAAGTGAGTTTCCATCTCCCATTTTTCTTTCAGTCTCCAAATGGTTAGAAGGCTACACAATTAGGAAGTTGAAATAAAATTAATCTATTAGTCCACATTAACCAAGATACCTAATTAAGTAAGATCTTCTTTAACATCATAATCAGATCCAGAATTTCAGCTATTATTCCAAATAATATTTTAATTATTCATATACCTACTATTAATATAAAAATTTCTCATACTGAGATGGTACTTAAACCCAGTCAGCTCGAAGTTCTATAAATAGAAATGACTTATTTTTAAATACTTTCTATTCAGAAAAAAGTTAACAAATACTAACTGGAAAATTTGAAAATACAAAAAATAAGGTAAAATAAAAATCAAATGTTGGACTTTTTTCATGATTTTTGCTAAATGAGTAGATTTTAGCTGTTCCTTTCACAAAAAAAGGGAGACATGTGAAATGATGAATATGTTAATTTGCTTCACTATAGTAACTATTTTACTACTCATATGTATCTCATAACATCATGTTACATACTTTAAATATATACAGTAAAATTTATAAACTAAAAAATTAATCCATCATCCAGCAATAACTGCTATTAACATTTTATTACATTTTCTTCTTTTTTCTCTACTTACATGTATTCATTTAGTATTATAAAATTGGGATATTATATTTTGCATGGTATCCTCTTTTTCAACAAACTTTGTATCTGTGTATTTTTCATAACACTCAATATTCCTTAAAAACACAATATTTATAAATGGCTGCATGACATTTGAGCCTATCTGCTTAACTATAATTTAGCTATCTACTTATTGGTGGACAATTATATTGTTTCCAACTTTTGCTATTATAAACAATGCTGTAATGAACATATCTGCATATAAAGACTTGTTCACATCTGTTTATCTGCTTACTAAAATTTCCTAGAGGCAGAGTTATTGGAATAAAGGGTATGAATATTTTCCAGGAACATTATGCATGTTGCCAATTTGCTTGTCAGGAAAGCTGTATACAGTCATACATCACTTAACGAATGGGATACGTTCTGAGAAATGTATCATTAGCAATTTCATCAATGTGCAAATACCACAGAGTGTACTTACACAATTCTAGACAGTATAGCCTACTACACACCTAGGCTATATGGTATAGCCTATTGCTCTGACCACTGTCATATACGCATTCCACTGTTGACTGAAATGTTATTATGTGACCCGTGACTATACTTCCATCAGCAAAACAATGGACTATACTTCCATTTTACACAGCCTTGCCCAAACTCCTTGCCAATCTGATAGGTGAAAAATGGTATCTCATTGTTGATTTAATTTATATTTCTAAGGCTTACAATGAGGATGACCGTCTTTTCTTTTGTTTATTGACCATGTATATTTTTCCTTTATAAATAAAATATTTTACTTTTCAAAAGGAGAGGGTAATCATTTCATAGCTCAAAAGAATGGCAGGAATCTTATTACATGGATGAGGACACTGACCCTTAAGTAGACACAGCCCAGAATATGTTTACTTGACATACAGTTTATGTGTTTCTCAACATATAGTCTACGAACAATCTATATCACAATCACCTAGGAAGCATATTCAAAAATGCAGGTTTCTGGGCTCTACACTGACCTCCAAAATCAGATCTGGGGTGTGTGAATGAGAACTAGAATTTCAATAATCTCCCTAGGTGACTCATGCCCACTAACATTTCTCAGTGAAAGAGAGGACAGTGCTAGAGAAGACTGCTATGTGCTGGATCACTTGGGGACATTTTATAAGCTACATATCCTAGTCCAATCACTTTCATACAGTTCTTCTCCTCACCTCCCCCATATTTTGATCTGTTCTTCCAGGGATTCGATTCTGCTTGCAGAAATCAACTTTACAATAAATACTAGCTGCAATCAATTCCCAGGTCTCTCAATAAGCTTTCAACATTTAAAAAACAACAACCCTCACATCCTATAAGGCTATCCACTTCTTGTCTTCTCAGATGTTCCCCCCCAAAGTCACTATGCAAGTATTTATTAAGTGCTTATTATGGGTCAGGCATTGTGCTTGGTACTGAGGGTACAATGTTGAACAAGGCATACAAACTTGAGGTTGGCAGCCAAATTAACTTGTAATTATTATATATTCACCATGTTGAGAACTGTTTGAAATTGCAATAACAGTTTTAATTTACTGAACAATTATGCGATGAACACAACACTTAGTGCTTTACTCATATTATCTCTGATCCATAATAATAATCCTACCCTATAAGATAAATGACATCCTTACTTTACAGATGTGGAAACTGAGGCCTAAGGCCACAGAACTAATAAGAGTTAGAACTGGGGTTAGAATCCATGTCTTTTTTTACTACTCTCTGTGCTCTTTTCACACCCTATTATGCAATTATGCTAGGGTTTAAGAAATCTTCCCATTATGAAGATTCCCCATTCAAGTTTTTTTCTTTTCCTTTTTTAAAAAATTCTTTTTGATAACAGAATTTCACCTGTAGGGCCTAACACTACTCACTTCATTAGAATGTTGACTCCTTGGATTCAAATTATTCTAGTTACAGACCCACCAACCCAATAAGTCTTCTCCCAAATTTTTTCTTTCTGTTTTTAAATACCTGAGGTACCACTCCCACTGCCCTCCGAAGGCTTTCCAGGCTCACATCTTGTATATTTTGACCAGCAAGGTAAATGTTACCCTTTTGAGGCTCATAGAAGCGAAACAACAGCCTCACTATTGTGCTTTTCCTGAAATTGGAGATAAGGAGAGGTTATTTAGCTCCTATTGGCACTAAGGAATCCTGTCTTAAACCACAGTAATCATTTTATTATGATAAAGAAAAAAAAAATCACATTGGGAATCATCAATTAATAATGCGGAATTTTATAAATAACTAAATTACCCACCCTGACCCACTACCTCCTACAATGGCCACTTTCTTTCCTGCAGGGACTTCAAAAGATATTCCTCTAAGGACTTTCTGCCCCTCAACGTATTCAAAATGCACATTATCAAAGGCCACCGTAGCTGTCTGTGGTGTGATCTGAAGGGGAGGTGCCATCGCTTTGTCCTAGCAGGGAAGAGGAAAAAAAAGCCACTTTATACACTGCCTAGAATACAGCTATGCAGACAATTTTCTAATTAACTGAGAGAAAAAGGAAAATTATGGGGAAGAAGGAAGTACATAAATGGAGTTAGGCCACTTCCAAGCATGCTTCTACAGATTCGTTTTTTTTACTCCTCAGTATTAAGGTAAAAAATCCTGAATGTTTTGGTTTCTGGGCAACTTCTTTTGGTGGGGGGAAGGGATGACGGGCAGTGAAGTAAAGGGGTTGAGGATGTGAGGAGAAGCAATCATACATTCTGTATATTATTAGCAAAAGTAAAACCAGTGTAAGTACAAATAATTCAATTTAACAGTATTTAGTTTCTAGGTATAATATTCTTCACTAACATTCTAAGGTTTTTAAACACAGAAATGAAAGCTATAACAACCTCTCAATACACATGATAACCCCAATTCCTGCAAGAAATTGGTTTGCTAACATAGTGAAGTAAGAACATGCCCCTAGAATAATCCTATTAATGGGAGGATGCTCACGTACTTTTGAAAAGGTGCTATAATATAGATTACTTACTTTAATTCGGGTGTCTACCTTGAGTAGAGTAAACAGGGTGTTCATATCTATGAGTGCTTGTCTAGTCTCTCTATATACAGTTCCCAGAAAGTTAAGGGGTAATGAGAGCTGAAAAAGCAGTCCATTCACCATTACTAGATCTCCAACAGTAAGGGTACCTTAATATGCAGTTGGCAGAAGGAAAAAAAAAAAAAAGGAATTTTAGAGGAATGCTATAAACTTTTGCAGTTTAAGCTAGAGAAGTTTATGGCCTATTAATACGAAATACAGTCCAAAATATACATGATCAGCCACCTTAGGCCTATTCAATTTCACAGCATTCTAATCCATGGTTTAGGCAATATAAAGAACATGGTATATGCTAAGCAGAATGGGAAAAGCCCACCTATACAATATATATAATACACACACACACACACACACACACAGAGAAGAACGTGAGGATAGAATCGGAAGGCTAAAATTTTCTCCTTTGTTTCCTAAGACACAAACAACAGTTTCTTTATAGTGTAAAATGGAAATTTTAAAAAAGTATATATTTAAAAATAAGAGCAAATAGATATCATGACTGAGAATGATAAACCACATATTAAGGTCACAGTGAATGAATGAATCCCGAGTGGGGGGGTTTACAGAAAAGAGGCACAGACATTATTTACTTTTGAAGTGTTTTGTATATTAAAAAAACTAATAGATTAAAAGGATACTGTTAATTCTAAAAAAAGATTGCTTGCATTTTAATCCTTTGGACTAACCACTATGTTAATTAAATTGCTTTCTAGGTCTACAAGAGAAATTAGAAATACTAGATTCTTTAAAAAAAAAAAAAAAAAAAAAAAACTGCTCCTCAAAGAATCAGGTTATAGACCCATAAATGTATAAACAGTAATCCCAGTCAATGAGAGAGCCAGTGTTAAACAAAAGGAAGTAAAAAGCATTATCAAACAATCAAGAAAACACATTAAGATACAAAAAGGAAAGTACTCCATGGATGTTAATGCACTTTATTGAACATCCATTATAATTAAGACTAATATAATACACATTAGTTTATCAATATTTATAAAAGTTAAATTAAAAAGCCTATAAATGTAATAACCGCAGATCCATTACCTGCCACAATTCCCTGACTGGCGAGCACCATTATAGCTGTTAAACCAACACTGAAAATAGCACTTTGACCAAAGTTCAGCATAGCCAGAGTAGAGGTACTTTTCAATGAAGCAGTCTCATATGTCTTCAAAAATCCATCATATCTTTGTGCTTCATATTTTTCATTATTAAAATACTACAAAATACATAAAATAATAACTATGAACAAATCTGACTGGAATTTATTCTAAATGATCAGTATACTTTTCATCAGACTTCATGTACAGATACAATTTTGTACTGCAGACTCCATTTTAAAAACTAACTTGCAATACATTGCACTATGATACTCTTGCAGTGTTCGACAGTGGATTGTATTTGGAAAGTCCACAAAATTCATCCAACATTTACTGAATGACTAGCTAATTCAAACCCAGATCTAAATAAAGCCTTCAATGATACTTGCTTCACAAACCCTTCTTCTGATCCCATGAGACTCTGAACTGGCAGTTCCTTCTGCCCTCACCACGTATGTCTTGTTTAGTTACTTGCAAACTTACTTTAACTCTCCCAGTAGATTATGAAATTCTGGGACGGCAGAGATTACATAGTAATCTTTTTTTTTTTTAACCACCCTCCCCCATCACTGCACTTAGCATAGTACTCTGCACATAGGAGACATTCAGTAACTATTTGTTAAATAGAAAAATGAACAAATAAATGAAAGAATTAATGAGAAGCACTATGCTATGCACGCCAAGGGATAGAGTGTCAAGAACATATATGCCAGTTTGATTAGCTGAAGGCTCATTCTAAATCAGGATGCTAACCATATATTTATGATCACTTATAAATTAATTCAGAAGGTAAAATTCCAATGATGCCAAACAAAAACTGAGTAGAAAAGGAATGGCAATTTCTAAACAAAAGAAAAGCAATAAAATAGTATTATTCCATCACACATAGAGATCCTATACTAATCTGAAGCTCTAACTTACAAGACCAATTAAATTAAATGGCAGAACAAATCTTATTGCAGTGTGAAAGGCTGAGGAAAAGTATAATTAAACATATTACCTTCACAGTTTCATAATTCAGCAGTGAGTCTATAGCCGCGTTACCTGCATCATTATCCGCTTTGTTCATTTCTATTCTAAATCTAGTTCTGTAAGACAAAGATTTGCACAGCCATGAAATGTATGTTATAAAAGCATAACTAATTTCTGAACCTTGACTGGCCACCAGGGAACACCTTACCTCCACCGTGTGACTGCAACTGTGAATGCTGTGTATGCACCAAGTGTTCCAAGGGTTACCAATGCAAACTGGGCACCGCATTTGTAATACTGGAGAAAGTCCGAAGAAGAAATAAGAAACAGTCATTGTTCTTGTCAAACAGTTTAAAATATACAACAGCAAATCTCAGTCAAAAGATTTTAATAAAAAATATGATGGTGGGAAGTTGTATATATGAATAATGGGTGAAAAATCAAATACCTCGGAAAATCTACTTTGGGTTGTTACTTTAGGAAGAAAGTCAAACTGCGCTCGCCACATTGATACTACCATCAAACACTAATAATAAAATAGTACAACAAGACTAAAAAGAAGTATATTTTTAACTATAAAATATGAAATTGCCTAAAATGTTATGAATGGTGAACAGAAATCTAGGTATTCTGAGCACAGCAGTCTAATGCTATACACAAAAATCTCTGCTTAAATAAAAAAAGAAAGAAAGATACAACAATCACACCCTTGAATTTTCAAAAGGAGAGAATGAAATTGAAGCCACCACAGGTGAGAAAGGGGGAGGGGGACGAAGAATAAGGGAGAAATGGTAAAGGGCCACAAAAAATGCTTACACTATGTAATGATTAAAAAAATAACCAAAACACGAACCTTGCACACACTAGTTAATAACTGATCTATATGAAGGAATGAATAGTTCTTTATAATAATATGATTAAGAATTTGGACAGTCCCTTGAAGCTTGTGGCAAAATAATTAAACTGCATAATCTTTCTGGCATGATAGAATTTACTTTCAAACCCATAGGCATGCAACAGCAAAACAGCTTCAGATCCTCAATTGCTACTAATGAGAATGTAAGATAAAAGCTTCTTATGAAAATGTTTTACTTACCAAAACAGCACTGACAAGTGACACCTCAAACATGATGGGAAGAAGATTAAATACCAAAGCGCTCAGGACGAAACTGATACCTCTTGTTCCTCTGTCAATAGCCTTAGATAAAGCTCCTGTCTGTCTACTCAGGTGGAAACCCAGATCCAGGTTGTGAAGATGGAGAAAAACATTTTTGGCTATTCTTCGGATTGAATTTTGGGCTACCTTACCAAATACTGCATTTCGAACCTCATTAAAAAAGGCAGCTCCGGCTCTTGATACACCATCTAACAATACATTCAAAAGAAAAAATAGGGGGTAAAAACATTAGAATCAAAGGAATACAAAAATGGCAAGGGCTCAGAAAATGTTTATATACTGAATAACTAAGTGAATGAATATATAACATAATATTTACACTAAAAACCCTAGTAATCAGGTAGCCTAATGAGTACTAAACTTTCTAGCATCATGAATCCTTTTCAGTGTTATTTTCCCCAGATTTTCAGATGTTGAAGGATTTTGTCCCATTAAAATACTTTTAATAAATTAATAGCCCATATGGCCTTATTGTGGACAAATGTACAGTATCTGTTGAGGTTTTTGATCTAATTCAATTCCCCCAAATAAAAATGATAAAATTGAGATCCTGAAACATCGAATATCTTGACTAAAAGCATTCCCCCACTTATGTATCCTTTCTAATGCATGGGGACACAAAGCATTCATATTCTGTTCTTTTCAAGTTGTATATTTGTGTCATGGCTATTGAATATATGTTAATAAAGCATTAATGTACACATATATTGTTATTTAGCTATTTCCTATTTAACAGCAAAACACCAGCATGAAAACAACTGGCCTTACTAGAAAGGCATCTTATTAAGAGCCTAACTATTAGAAGTGGTTGTTATGAATTTAATGTCTTATTTCATATTACTGCTTTCTAGAACTTGGAAAATACTACTGTTATCACAAAATTTTTGGAAAGTATATCACACAAAGAAATTTAAAAAAAAACACTCATCAAAAAAAAATCTCACATAAAACAAAAAACATCTGAAATTCTAAGTTGCATTTGTGGTGAAAAGGTCATCTGCTCAAATGTGATGGAATCTTCCTGAAGAAAGTCAACACCTGTAGACAGATTAAAGAATCACACATACAGCCAATCAGAACTGCCGTTGCCATGGTTGCAACTGTATTTGGTGCATCATTCAGGTTCAGCATGTTTCCCGACATCTGGTTGAGGCTGTCTACAGCATATTTAAACATGAAGGGAACGATAATATTCATGGCCTAAAAACATAAAAACATCAATTACCCATCACATGCAGATTTATAAAAGTACAAATATTTACCATAAATTAGTATTTATGGTAATGTTTATATATATTAACCATTTACTGGTATTGGAATGATTTTCCCAATTCATAAAGAGAAAATCTTTAGCATTGGGAGAGCTGTCATTTCAGGATTCCTACATCACAGTGCCATGTTAATATTCATTTACAAGTTATATGAATTAGTCAAATGCTCTTGCTTCCATGAAATAATCCCTGATAAGTCACTCGAAAATGCTCTCTGTTATCTGAAATCCTACAGAGCTCATGATTCTTAAAGTGAGCTGACTTATATTGTTGTTATTTGTGTATACATTTTCCTTTCCTACTACATCCTCAAGGGTCTGTATCATACGAGTTATTTTGTCCCACCCATGCTGAATATAATGCTTTGTATACAGTAGGTATTCAATAAATATTTTAAAGATGATTTGTTCACCAAAATAATGGTAAAACAAATTATACAGTAAAAAGGATCTCAAAAGCAGATAAGTTACAAATATCTGTGGCTGATTCACTACTGAAAAAAAAAACCACTGACAGATCTACTTGTCCGATAAAAATATTTTTTGGTCTAATACCATACAAAAAAACCCCCACAGAATACCAAATCAAGCTTTCAATAACCAAGTACTTCTACATGAGAACACACCAAAAGAAAATTTAAAAAGAAAGTTAGGAGTACAATGCTTTCATACATTCAAGGCAAATATTTAATCATTCACATTCTATATTTTTCTGCAGAGTTACAGCATCTAAAGCACCAACCATCATTTAGGAACAGGAAGTTTGTCAGAGTACCAAAGTTTTCTTCAAAGAAATTGAACTGATATAAATTAATGACATGTGAAAACAACTCTATAAGGCTTAATAAAAACAATGAAATTCCAGCTTTTGTTAATGTCTATTATTATGCCATCCATCTTGGGTAAACATAATTTATTGCCATCAAGTATAAATTTAGCTACAACTGATAGAAGGTATGTTAATCTTACCAATCAAGATTTCAAGGTGTATGAGTGCATTTCTGTTGCTTATAACACAGATTCCTGAAACTGGGCAATTTATAAGAAAAAGAAATTTATTTCTTACAGTTTCAAAGGCCAGGAAGTCCAAAGTCCAGGGAAAACATCTGGTGAAGGCCTTGTTGGTGGTGACAGTGATATGGGGATCTCATATGGCAGAATGGTGAAGCAGAGACAGAGCTAACTCCTCACTTTTTCTCCTTTAAAGCCCTCAGAACCACGGCCATGACCACCATTAAACCATCAATAGATTAATCCATTTACTTGGGCATGGTCCTCACAATCTGATCACCTCTTCAAGGCCTCACCTTACAATTACCATAATAGGATTTCCCACCCTCTTAACACTATCACACTGGGGTTTAAGTTACTAATACATGGACTTTGGGGGACACAATATAATCCACAGCACAAGGTAAGGTATGCAAGAGTCTTAGCAACCAAGCAGGTGTTCTAATATTCAACAATATCATTAAAATACATGGCAGATGTTGGGATGGTTTTAAAAATGTAACACTATGAGTAAATTGCTTAAACTTTAAGGTTTCTAGCTTTCAAAATATAATCTAATAGAATATATGGCAAGTCCCAAATAGTACAAATTTCTCAATTCTGATTCCCTTATAATCACATAACCTCGGGCTCTTGCTTCTGCTTGAAATGATCTCCCCCTCCCCTATCTATCTCTCTACCTCTTCACCCTTCAAAGCCCAATTTGAACCCCATTTTTATCATAATGCCTCTTCTGAAACTTGTAGTCAATTTGGCACTCCATTTTCCAACTCTTCTTTTTGCTATAGTTTATACCTCAATATTTATCACTTTTATAATGTATAAGGGTACTTCAAAAAGCTCATGGGAAAACAGAATTAAAAGATATTATGAATCTTGCCATGAACTTTTTAAAGACCCCTTATATTTCTCATTCAATTCGTTTGTATGTATATGTGCATGGATATACCACCTTCTTAACCTAAGCACAAACCTTTTGTGTCAAAACAAACATTTAGTGAACAGCAGCTAGATGCATCAGGTATGGTGCTAAGTACCTTTCACAAAGGTGAGGGCTGAAAAAAATAACAGTTCTATGAAATGGGTATCATGCTTATAGCTGAGAAAATTGAGGTTCCATGAAGTTTAACAACTTGTCTGATAAGCAGCAGAGCTGAGATTAAAATCTAGGTTTGATGGTTGGAGTCAGAATTTTTTCTAGTACACCACAGCCATATTAGCAGCTTACAAGGCAGGGACCATACATTTTACTTCTTCTGTACCCTAAAATGGATGCTCTCAAATGCACTGTTTAAACCACCTACCATTGCAAAGTATGTCACAAGTAATTTAAATAAATTTGAGCATATCCCAGGTTTTCCATATAATAATGCCACATTTCTTCAATGGCATTCCAATATACTTTCTTGAGTAGGAGAAAAAGTGATGGCTACAGCTAGCATGCAATTCTCATAACTCACAGCCTATTATATCTTTGCCACAGCTATCATTAGTGATGACAAACTAATGTATCAATAAAGTTGTGCAATTTTATTTTTGTGAAAATGTTTTTGAGTTTGGCCAAATTTGGGAACATTCTTATAAGAGTACAGAATATGTGAATGTCATTTGTCTTGAGTTGTTATTGGCAGAAAAAGGGCAGTTAGCACAATGCTAAGCACATGGCACTACCTCTAACAATAACTGAATACTGTCAATTTTCCCATAAAAGTAATTTATAAAAGGAAAGAAACACACTAAAGAAATAGAAAGGATTATATTTTGTGTAGATGTTTTTATTAATGTGTCAGTTTCATTGACCCTGTGATGTTTTGGGGGAGGTGGTGAATACTGGTTTTCCCTAATATCCTGTCTTCAGCAGACAAACTATCTCAGACAAATGAGAATCTTTTTTTAAAACTTTTTATTTGGAAATAATTAAAGACTGATAGAAATTGCAAAAGTAGTATGAAGAGACGCATGTACCCTTCACTCAGTGTCTCCTAATCATCTTATATAACTGTAGTTCAATATCAATATCAGGAAGTTAACATTGGACTATAGAATTCACCCAGTTTTCACCATTTCCAACCTGTATTCACGTGTTTGTGTGTGTGGTGTGTACATGTCAATCTATATGGTTCTATGCAATTTTATCCCATGTTCAGATTCATGTAACCATCACCACAATCAAGATACAGAACTATTCCATCACCACAAGAAAATTCTCTGTGCTACCTCTTTGTATTCACTCCCATCCCACAGCACCCCACCCCAGTCCCTGTCCCCTAATAACTACTAATTTGTTCTTGATCTCTATAGTTTAGTCATTTTGAGAATATTATATAAATGGAACCAAACAGTATTTAATCTTTTGAGACTGGCTTTTGTTTCACTCAGCATAACGCCCTTGAGGTTCATCAAGGTGGTTCTATGTATCAATAGCTCATTCCATTTTGTTGCCAAGTATTATTCCTTAAATGAATCAGAATTTATTCAACCATTCACCCCTGAAGGACATTTTTGTTGTGTCCAGCTTGGGGCTATTGTGAGTAAAAATGCTATGAACATTCTCACACAGGTGAACATAAGTCTTCATTTCTCTGGGACAAATGACCAAGAACCCAATTGCTACTTTTTAAAACTCTTTCCAGAGTGGCTGTGCCATTTTACAATAACCAGCAAAGTATGAGTGACCCAGTTCCTCTGCATCCTCACCAAAATTTGGTATTATCACTTTTTTATTTTGAAACTGTTCTAATAAGTGTGTAGTGATACCTCATTGTGGTTTTAATTTACATTTGCCTAATCGCAATGATGCTGAACATTTTTTCATGTGCTCATTTGCCATCTGTACCTCCTTTTTTGGTGAAATATCTGTTCATGTCTTTTGTACATTTTATAATTGGATTGCTTTTTTTTCCCCACTGTTGAGTTTTAAGAGTTCTTTATGTATTCTACATATAAGACCTTTGTCAGATACGTGGTTTGCAAATATTTTTTCCCAGTTTATTGTCTTGCATCTTACTGAGTAATCTGAAATCCCACCCCACTCAGCAGTAATGAGGTAGCACCCCTGCACCATTGAAGCAGTGTCACTAAGAGAAGTAGTTACCAGAAGACCTGCTTTAAAAGAATTGCTAAAGAAAATTCTTCATACACACAGGAAGTAAAAGCAGAAGGAAACCTGGAACATCAAGAATAAAGGAAGAGCAACAGAAATGGTAAATGTTTGTGAAAATATAACAGTCTATTCTTCTCTTTAGTTCTTTAAAATATGTTTGAAGGTTAAAGGCAAAAATTAAGTAACTGACTGATGGAGTTTACAGTATATATAGATATAATACATAAAACGACTATAAACATAAAGGGGCAAGGTTAAGGAGACTGATACGGTTGTAAGGCTTTTACATTCCACTTGAAGTGGTAAAATAGTGACTCAAAGTAGACTGTGAAAAGCTAATATGTATATTATAATTTCTAGAATAACCACTAAAAAATTATATAAAGAGATAGACTAAAAGGTACAATAGATAAATCAAAATGGAACAGCAAAAGCTGTTGAAATAACACAAAAGATGACAGGGAAGACAAAACAGAGTAATAAAATAAAGAGGAATTTAGTAAAAAACACATAATAAAATGGTAGACTGAAATGCAAATATATCAATAATACCAACATAATTATAAACATAATGATCAATATAAACCCATAATTATTAATATAAAGAAAAAAATTATTTATAACACTCCTCTCCCCCACCAAAAAGAAAAGAAATCCTTAAGTAGAAATCTAACCCAGGGTCTCTTCAACCATCAGCACTATTGACATTTTAGGTTTGATAACTCTATCTTGTGGGAGGAGCTATTCCATGCACTGTTGGATGTGTAGCAGTGTTCCTAACCTCCACTCACTACATGCCAGCAGCACACTCCCCTG